TGTGCTCACATATTGTAGTGGGACTGAAGGGACATCAGGTGCCAGAGCCTCTAATCCTTCTCCTGCATCCTCCTGACTTTTTTTTTTTTTTAAGTTTATTTTGAGTGAAAAAGAGAGTGGGGGAGGAGCCGAGAGACAGAGAGAATCCCAAGCAGGCTCTGGGCTGTCAGCACAGAGACCAATGTGGGGCTCGAACTCACCAACCGTGAGATCATGACCTGAGTTGAAACCAGAGTCAGAGGCTTAACCAACTGAGCAAGCCAGGTGGACCTCCCCCTTCTGACTTTCTTATGCTAAAAAATAGTAGATGTTTCAAGCTGAGGTCACTGTCCACTGTAATCATCTGGACGCTGATGTTCTCATTATGCATTAGTTTATTTTTTCAGCCTTGAAATAAACAGCCTGAGAAGCATTGGTGTCCTCTTCTGCTTTGAATGAAATATACTTTTCACTACCAGGACTTAAGAAATTAGAAAGTTTATGGGGCACCTGGGTGGCTCAGTCAGTTAAGCATCTGACTTCAGCTCAGGACATGATCTCACAGTTCATGGGTTTGTGCCCTGAGTCGGGCTCTGCTGACAGCTTGGAGCCTGGAGCCTGCTTCAGATTCTGTATCTCCCTCTCTCTCTGCCCCTCCCCTGTTCGCTCTCTGTCTCTCTCACAAATAAACATTAAAAAAGATTTAAAAAAAGAACTTAGAAAGCTTATAGAGAGTATATATAAATTGGGCATTTCACTATATTAATATTTGTATGGGGATGGTATGAATAAATGCCAAGAAAACGTTGGAGGTGCTAATTGTTCATACTTACTGCCATCAAAGTACTTCTATTGTTTTGCTCTGTTTCAAGGTCTAGATAGGAAATACTTGAGAGGTTGAAGTCTACAGGCCAGCGGGAACAGTCAATAAATATTTTAAAAATAAGAGAGACGTGGAGACATTAAATCTCCCTGAAGTTAGACACCTCAAAATTGAAAATCTAGGCTTTCACACAATACCTGTACATTTGAGGAATTTTCAGCCGATTCAATGAGTTCTCCCATGAAATGTGCTGATGCACTGAGCTTTCTGGCAGTAGGAATTATAGCAGAGATTAAAACTGGTAGCCAAAGGTTCAGGTACATTTGGCAGACATTTTTGTAGCCCTTTCGTTGTTTTTAAGAATTGAATTAGCTGCCAACTTTAAAATGTTAGAGATTTTATGTAAAAGCCTGGATTTCCATCTTATTTTGAAAAATTAAGACCTGGCATCATTGGGCCAGATCTCTCTTGATATGCTTTCTAGTTCATTGGCATCATCACCCTCTAGCTTATGATGCATCTGGGCCCTGGAGACAAGAATTTGCTTATCTAGAGAATGACAACTTAAGAAGAGGTTTATGTTTAATGGCAGAGAAAATAGAAACAATGTGAAGTTTGATCTTTTTGATTGGTTGTTTGCAAAAAAAAGGGGGGGGTGACCAGAAGTTGAGGAAATTTTAAAACTAGGATTATTTATTTATTTTTAATTTATTTATTGAGAGAGAGAGCATGCGAGCAAGTTGGGGAGGGCAGAGAGACAGGAGCAGACTCCGCACTGTCAGCACAGAGCCCAACGCAGGGCTCAAACCCACGAACCGCAGGATCATGACCTGAGCCAAAATCAAGAGTGTGACGGTCAACTGACTGAGCCGCCCAGGCACCCCAGGGTTCTTCTTCTTCTTCTTCTTCTTCTTTTTTTTTTTTTTAAGTTTATTTTTGAGAGATCAGGGAGGGGTAGAGAGAGGGAGAGAGAGAATCCTATCATCTACCATCAGCACAGAGCCAGACTCTGTGGTGGATCCCATGAACTGTGAGATCATGACCTGAGCCTAAACGAAGAGTAGGTGGCTAAACAGACTGAGCCACCCAGGCACCCCTAAAAATAGGATTATTGCTTGATTTAGCTTAAGTGAAAGTAATAAATAGGTACTGTAAATGTCAGTAATTTGACCTTTGTGGCCAAACATATTCACAAGTAGACAGAAGAGCTCTCTGCACAGGGACGTGGACAACACACATTTCTCAATATGTTACTTGTTTAAAGAGTGGTCATTGCACACGTATATGTCGTGTATTTTAAGGGTATGTACTGCTACAAGTATTACTTTACTACTAAGTAAAACATGGATTCAAATTTGATGAATTTACCATCTAATGGGAAAGACAAATGAACACAAATCAAGAAAACAATCCTGCCTGGAAGAACTGGGAAGGTATACAAAGAAAACGGGCAAGGGCATTGGTAGGACTTTAAGGATGAATTTTATCAGTTCAGGTCCTCCAGAGAGAGTGTGAACATGTGTTTTTGTCAGGAATCAGCTCAGGCAATTGCGCGGGTTGCTAAGTCTAGGACCTGCAAAGCAGGCTGCCAGGGTGGGAACTCAGGCAGGATCTCCACGTTACAGTCTTGAGGCAAAATGCCTTCTTGGGGATGTTTTTAACTTTTAGGGCCTTTGGCTGATTAGCCAAGGCCCATCCGGCCGTGCGAGAATGGGAAGGGAGGTCTCTGCTCAAGTCAACCGATCCCAGAAGTGAACCCCAGGTACCAGGTCGCTTCGCGACAGCAGCCGCGCCGTGGGAGCGTGAAGCCACCACAGCAGAGGCGCAGGGCGCAGTCAACGCCGCCGGCGTCCCACGCGATTCTCCCGAGGGCGCCATGCAGTGCAGTCGCGTTGTGCGCGGTGCTCCCGTACGCGTAAACGCGTCCCGCGGAGGGGCAGAGCATGGCCGGGCAGCAAGCCGTCTCGGTGCTGGGGCCACGGGAAGGGCACAAGCCTACCCTCCCGCACAGACTGGGTACGTGGGGAGGCAGGTGGCGAGCGGCCAGGCGGCTCCGAGAGCCGGAGGCGGGCGGGGGTGTCGTGACCACACCGGCCCGGGAGCGCAAGCCATAGAGACGCCC